GGTGGAGGTATATTCCCCACAGTGGTGGGCCATGGGAAGTATGACAGGAGGCATTGAGTGAGCCATTCCAGTTGAAGAAAAAGAGCAATTTGGTGCAGGTCTTCACTCCAGCCCTTCAACCTCAGGCCAGGGGAGAGGACTTCAGCATACCACATCCTCAGGCTGCTGTTGGTAAATGCCAGATCCACATGCAATAAGAACTTGTTCCTCTACAATATGGTGGATGAACATTCAGAACTGCTTGGGGTTTTCCAAGGGTGCTTGAACAATTCGCTGGGTTGAAAAGGTAATGTCTTGATCCAGCCATACTGTAATGGAAACTATCAGCCCAGTCTTTCTTATTTAGGGAACGTTATGGAACAATCCAGAGACTTTCAGGATCATTTGCAGTCAGGATTCAAACCTGGGCATGGGATGGAAACAGCAGCGGTCACCCAGATAGATGACCTGTCGAGCTTGGAAGGAATGTGCCCCTCCTGTTCTGGTTTGATATCATCAATCATGGTTTCCTTCTGGATTGTCTGTGAAGAATGGGGCCTTGAGACACTATTTTGCAGCAGGTCCACTTTTTCTTAAATGGGCAATTTCAGTTTGAGAAAAATGATCACATCCATGGTTACTCCAGTTGGGGTTCCACAGGGCTCAGTTCTCTCCTGTTATTTAATATCTACACAAAGCTGCTGGAGGAGATAATTTTGTCAGTTTGGGGTGAGATGACATCACTATGCTGATGATTCTTAGCTGTACATGCTACCCCAAGTGATACTCTTGAAGTCCTGTTTCAGTGCATAGAGGCTATGAGGAACTGGATGGACCAAAACAGGCTTGTTTTTTGTTTTTTTTAAAATCACATAACATAAAAGCTTGTGTTTGTGACCAAACAGGCTCAATTCCAGTTTCAACTTTGCCTCTAGGCAGGGTTGCACTCACCCTGAAGAAGCAATTTTACAATTTGGGGTTCTTCCTGGAAGCCAGGGCTGGAGGGGAGGAGTGGCTTTGCCATTATGTCAGTGCAGACCTTTGGTGACTAGGATACTGGCAACCACATCTCATTCCCATGTCACCTGTGATGGAATGGAATTATGAAGGCCAGGCTCAGGGAGATAAGCGTGTTCTTAGTTCACTGGAGGAGCATGGGAAGTTCAAGAGGATGAGGCTGGCACCTCCCTGAGGAATTCACGGTGTTGTGACTAGCTGGCTTGGGAGCTAGGTTTCAGGCTGGGGAGATTGA